ACAGTGACCCAGAGGTGGCTCATAATGCAATCCTTTCCATGGGAATTGTGGGTGCAGGTAAATTAGGACTTTCTCTGTTTTCAATAGTTTAGGCCTATATATTATAGAAATAGATAAAGACAATATAACATGGCTCCTTCTGTCTTGAAAGACAATGGATTCGCCCAGATGATTCAGAAGTAGTGTTGTTTTTTTCTTGAGTCCTGGCAGAATCTGTGTGGTTGATTCTTTGAGGGTCAGAGTTTGCCACTTGTGGTTGATTCTTGAGGGACAAAGTTTGCCATAGTTTTGTGCAAATGAATACACCTGTTTTAGGGCTATGTGAAAGGGAGCTTTCTTTCTCATTCTCTTGTCTAAAGCCTCTTCAATCTTTTGCTTCTGACAAGGTTTTAAAACCTTGATTTGCTTATAATCTAAAAAATCTTACTGAACTATCTTTAGTTTGGTGCTTTCCATAGAAAACACTTTCTTAATGCCAAAGCAAAGACATCATTATGACAAAAAAATGACTGTGATTGCTGGAGCAATGTAAACTACCTTTGTATTTTTTTTAAATTCTTTGTCTAAATGGAGACATTACTGCAAACTTTTTTTAATACTTATGGGAATGTATCATTGCTATTCCTTCTTGTATCTATTACTTAAGTTTTCCTGTTTTTTTTTTTTTTAGTTTCCTGAAATGGAATATTTATGCCTGATAATATCCAGAAGTACTAGTTTTAGAATGTTTGGGGGGTAGGACTGGAAACATGAAGGTATATATGTTATTAAACTTTTGACTATGATAGTCCCTTCTGTTTCTGTATCGTTCAGCTGAAAAGGATCTCTTAAGAGTAATTGCCATTTTTGATTCTCCTTTACTTTGTTCAGAAAAATGTCAAGACTTAAATCAGAACTGGTTGAGACTCAGACACTTCCCTTCCTCCGAGTTTAAACTCTGCTAACTAGGCACTGTACAAGTCTGCCATGATGTTATCTAGTTTGAATTTTAGTCACCAATATTTAATTGAAAAAAAAAGTTCTAGTTGACTGTTCATTTTTTGACCATTTCAGGTACCAACAATGCACGCCTGGCTGCCATGCTCAGACAGCTGGCAGTCTACCATGCCAAAGACCCTAACAACCTTTTCATGGTGCGCCTAGCTCAGGGCCTGACCCATTTGGGGAAGGGCACACTAACACTGAGCCCATACCACAGTGATCGCATGTTGATGTCTGGTGTTGCCGTGGCAGGCCTTCTTTCTGTATTGGTCTCATGTTTAGATGTTAAAAATAGTAAGTTGGACAGACATAATTGTTTTGTTCATAATGTTGAAAAGTCAACATTTTTTTTGATTTTGTCAAATGTTTAGATTATACTCTAAACTTTATTCATAACTAATTTTCTTTAATGGCGTTCCAGTTATTTTGCATTTGGGAGAAAAAATGTAATTTTTAGAAGTTCAAATAACATTACATCAGACTAGATCATTCTCTAAGTTTTATATACAGGGGGATTCCAAAGGAATGCACCAAAATCATTGGGCTTTATTTAAAAACAACATCAAAAATATTGCTACCTAGCTGGACACAAGTGTTGTATATAAGTTTTTTTTATCTCATGCTTTGTAAGTGATCAATGGGACTACCACCAGCGTAGTGGACAACATCAAGGTGATATGAAAATTCCTTCCAAGCATGCTTCAGGATGTTCCTGTTCCAATGTGTTGATTGCAGCTGTTGCTCTTTCATGGCATTGATATTTTTGGGCAATGGTGGAAAAACGTCTTTTAATATATCCCTCAGGATAAAATTGCACACAATGAGGTCGAAGGTGGCGTGGATAGCCAAGTGCAGAGAGAAATGTCTTTAGCACATCTTCTGCCAGTCCACCGCTGACTTGCCATCTTGAGTGTAAAAAAAAAAGTGATTTTCCTACAAAGACAAATTGAAATTGACACCCTGTTAAACATGGATAACTCCTGTATCAATTAACTACTAATTCAGTCCATTACAACGTGTTTGAAATGAATAGAATACATGAAGACTTTGTCACATTCTTTTTGAATCGCCCTGTATGTATCAATGAAGCAAAAAAAATTTTATATTATTAATATAGACATTTAATTTTTACCTTTAAACAATTTTAATAGCAATCTAGACTTTTTTTTGTTGTGTGTATTATATCTGAAGTCTAGCAATTTAACTAATTAATTTGATATCATTCTTTTTACTTACTAATAAAGTATTGTGTTTTGCTAGGAAATTTATGATATGTAATGCCTTCTAAGTTGAGCATTGATGCTACTAAGAGAAATAAAAAAGTAATAAATTAATATCAGCTATGGAGGCATGGTGGCTGTACTGTAAAGTGCTTGGCTTCCAAACCAGTGTCCCAGGTTTGAATCCTGGTGAAGACTGGGATTTTAATTTCTGGATTTTTGGGTGCCTCTGAGTCAACCCAGCTCTAATGGGTTCTGACCATAGTTGGGGAAAGTTAAGGCTGTTGGTCGTAGTGTTGGCCACATGACCACCTTGTTAAGCGTGGGCCTCAGAAACAGACGACCTTTACGTTAGAAAGGGGAACTTAACTTTGTTTTTTGTTTTTTAGATCATTTGTAATGTTTGTTCCAGATACTTAAATAATATTAGTTATGCTTGTATAAATTCTAAGCTGTTATAGCTCTTATAAATATCTTAATCACAGTTATACTCGGAAAATCTCATTATATGCTGTATACATTGGTGTCTGCCATGCAGCCTCGTATGTTAGTTACCTTTGATGAGAACCTTAAGCCATTGCCAACAACGGTCAGGGTAGGACAGGTAAGAGAGTTCTGTGAGATTTAACAAAATTTTGTAAGCAAATCAAGTTCCTCTTGTTATCTTAAGGTTAGGAATTGTATACATTTGATTGAGTTTTAAAATAAACACTTAGTTTATAGTTCTTATTGCTTTTGAATGGGGTGTTTCTCTTATTTGATAGGAAGTTAGCAGCAGTTTATTTTCAACTTTTTTTAAGAAGAAGAGCACTTTATGAATCAATCAGAATGAGAAGATGAGCTTAAAACTATTGTTTTTCCAAGTGAAAACTTTTTTTTTTCTGCTACAAATGCTGTTACCAACTGAAGTGTATAAAGCCAAACATTGTTTAATGTAAATGAAGCTGATCTGTTAGAATTGTCAGAGCTAACTCTTTGTTTGTTTCTATATTTATTTACAGGCTGTAGATGTCGTTGGTCAGGCTGGTAAACCAAAAACAATCACAGGATTTCAGACTCACACAACACCTGTCTTGTTAGCATATGGTGAGAGAGCAGAGTTGGCAACAGAAGAGTGTATCCTTTGAAATATAAATGACATATTGGTTAACATAGTGCAGACATAGCGTTTTAAAGTGGTCCACACATTATTTGTAGCTCCTTCTTCATGATTGAAGATAACTCATTTCTCATTTCCTGTTTCTTCTCTCCTCCTTATGTCAGCTCTGCTGCTCTCCTTGCCTCTTATCTCGGGGACTCTGATACTGACTTCATGTCATGAGGAGAGATTGAGAGCTAGTGTTTCCCAGCAGTGAAAGTCAGTATCACACTTTTTGAGAGAGCTCTTATAGGTATCTTTGTAACGCTGTCATGCCCCCCCTCCCCCCACCCGAGGCACTTTCCTGATCTCAGCTCTCTTTAAACAAGTTTGGGAAGGCGATTCTCTGACATCCAGACTACATGTCCCACCAATAGGACCTTTTTTCTGACATCCAGACTACATGTCCCACCAATGGGACCTTTTTTCTGACATCCAGACTACATGTCTCACCAATAGGACCTTTTTTCTGACATCCAGACTACATGTCCCACCAATAGGACCTTTTTTTTTGCTGTGGAGTGGATACTGTTGATATATTTTTTTTAGACACATTACATCTAGAATGTTGGTTGTCGTGGCCCCAAAATTTGATGTATTTAATTTGGGGTCTAGCTGGTAAATTAAGTCAAAATTTAAGGTAAATTTAAGTTTGATAAGTTCTTTACCTGCAAAACAAAGTACAGCTATTTTTCCCTCATATGTTTAACTTATTTTTTCTAATTTATTTTAACACTTATTTCCTTCTTGGCCAAAAAACAAAAAGATTTTTTTTTCAACACTATCACTCTTCATTACCATTAAACTAGATTTCAAGCACACAATTTGAATCCTTAACAAACTGTTCAGATATCCCCTTAACAAATGTCATGGAAGGTTTCGTTATCTTAAGAAAGAATCCAAATTTCAGTGCAGAGTCTTAATTAATTTTTTTTTTTTTTTTATAAGTATTGAAGTTATGCCAACAGTTGTTTTTTTTTAATCATGTTTCTTTTATAATAAACTATTTGGTCAAGTGGCACAAGGACAACCAATGTCCATCCTTCTGAACGGATTTATTCAAACTGTAGTTGACACTCAGTCACTGGTCAAACTTGTAGGAACTGCCATTGTTAGGCTGATGCATTGCTACTGATACTGGAATGTCAAATAGGGTTTAGGCTTCTCATTAGAAGCACATTATTTACTTCACATTATTTACTGAAATTAAAAGTTATTTGCATTGATGTTTCCCATAATGTGGATAGGGGACACCTTTTAATGACCAGTATCAGTTGGAACATCATCTTTTAAACAAAACAAAAAGACTAGGCTTCTTCCAATGCAGATCAACAATGCATTTTCAACTTGACAGAGTATGATTGTTGTATTATCATGAATAAATTTTCTATGTTACAAATTGTTTTGTTCTGAAATGTTTTACTTCATGTAAGTGTGGCTGCACATTTCTGCTTGAAACTTAAATGGAATAATTGTAGGCAGCATGTGTTGTTTCAACTTAACTAGCTGTGAGTTTAATGTAACCTTCACAGAAAATTGTAACAACTAATTCTAGACTTATCCCATGTAGATGTGTTCATAACTTACAAATGCTTAGGTTACCCACCTTGGAATAAAAAAAAGAACTATGCTTATCCCAAACTGTCAGGTATTTTATGTTAATTCATATTAAATCTTAATTACCGCTAGTCAGTGTCCATTTGTTTTTTAAAAAGTTTTAAGTCTTAGAGTGAAAATCTAATGTGCACACCAATCTATATTGAAATTATTTTGAGCTTCAAACAGAAGCATTTAGACTATTTGATTTGGCAGTTGCTTTAAAACTATTGAATGACTAAATGAAAAACAAAGCTAAGAGTATAGGATTTCTCTCAAGTTCCATTCTTGGATCAAGAGGAAACTGCACAACATAGAGAGAGAGGATTAGTCATTGTTTATACAAGTACTTGAATAGTAGCTCAGTGGCTAACACTTCTGGCTTTTATCATGGTGGTGAGAGACCTGGAGTTCAAATTTGGACTCAAGTAACTTTTTAAAAACAATTTTGAAAAGGCAGCAAAATATCTATTATTAAAATACATAAAATAAATTTGTACTTGTTGAAGACACTGCAAACACTTATAAGAATTAGAATAATTTATTTCATTGGTTATCACACTAATTGAAACATTTTCACCTTTTAAAATCAATGATACATAAAAAAAAAAAAAAAAAAAGCTGTCTTTTGAATGGTGGGTAATACACAAAAACCATCTTGATAAGCTCCCTCTAATGAAAGTGATAAGAAAAATGTCATGCAGCATACACATTAATTAGGCAGAAATAGTTGAACACTAAACCTATATACAATTTGTTTTTAACATTTTATCTGTGGAAAGGGGAAAAAAATCACTTATTACTGTCTGTCTCACTCACTCTACTGGACCATGGACAAAAGTGATACAAATATTCTAGAATAAAATTGTGGCAATAAAAATGACTTTTTTTTTTTGTTGATATGCATAGGCTTCAAAAATCTAATTCTTAAGTTTACACTAGTTTAGATCCGTCTACCTCTCTTCAATTTGGCAGGAAACTGAAAGGGATCATGAGCACAGCTAATGTCCTAGTAATAACTAGCATTTTCCAATCAATACACATTTCTTGTACAATATCTGTGCATGAGCTGCTTTCCTATGGCAGGATTTGGAAGAGAAAGTGTTCAGAAACACAAGAGCATGACATTTGAATGGTGCTTGTGCACAGCATTGCCCTAGTGACATTTGAATGGTGTTTGTGCACAGCATTGCCCTAGTGACATTTTTAAAAGCATTTGTGTGTGTGTGTGAGAAAGTTAAAGTTACATACTCTACCTCCCCCCTCCTTACAGAAAAACAAAATCAGAAGTAAGATGACAAGACTAAATTCTCAATGGATCTTGGACAGAATCATGTTAAAATGCATACAAAATGATGAGACAAATTATTGATTCATAGGCAGCTGAGTTGATTATAGTTTTTAACTGTACTGTCACTGGCATCAAGATGGGAACAGATGACTATCACAGTAAAAAGGTACTTACCAGCACATTAAAATTATTTTCCCCAGTTAACATTCAAAACAAAGCTATCACCTGACCCACACACACAAAAGTACATACACTGTTTGTGATTGTAAAATCAAAAGAAATAGTGGATCTCAGTCAAACAAAGCTCTGATTTAAACAGATAAAGTAGTACTTTTGTAATAAATGCATAGACTTAAATACAGATGACAATATGATTATCAATGCATGACATAAATTGTAATCATTTTTTTAACTCTGCCATAATGATTATTTAATATTTTTTTCTTAAATTTTAAAGCCATATTTGTCAAAGTGATTCTCAAGTGATATTTGCATTTCATAGTAGATAATTGTACTGTGTATAGGAACATTGAGAAATATAGTACTCCTCCTCTACTGCTAGAATGAGATTATGACCATGTTCAAGCATTAGAATAAAGAAAACAATTCACAGTAAACATCTGCAATAAGTATAAATGCATGATCCACTGTGCAAAGTGAGTCTGAAGTTAAGGGTAAGTTCAAATAAGTAAATAATAATAACATATTTGGTGAGAGACTTGATTGTAATTTTAAAAAAGTGAAAATGATTTGAAAATCCTCTCATTTAAAAATACTCCAGGCTAACTTTCTGACATATTTACCAAATTAAAAAATCACTATAACTTTTCTAAAGGTAAAATTACATTCTAAGCATTATGGTGAAACTCTTACCCAGAATAGCTCTATCAAAACAATATAAAATTGATCAAGATTTGTTTGGTATAGAGTATAGTAAAGATTTGTCAGAGATGAACTAGTTAAAAATATGGCACAACTGACCAACAAGATTTAATTTGGAGAGAATGCAGCATTAGATATATAAATAACCATTATCAAATTAAGTGATATTGTACCAAGATACTAGGTACACCATCTTAACACCATGCTTTTGTTCAGGTTTCATAGAATTTTTTAAAACTTTAAACACTAAGCTCCTGAAATCACAAATGAAATGAATCGTTATTAAACCCAAAAAATGAAGTAACACAGAATGAATAAAACCTAAATATTCTTCTAATACAATTACTGTGTTAAATTCTTGAACCCAAACAAACAAATGCCAATAGCAATAGTTTTCAATGGTTTTAAAAACCTTTCAGTAACTCTCACATTCTGAAGCAAAGTGGCATAATTAATGGAATGTTAATTGATTAAAATGTTTATTGATTAAGGTTTGAGCATTGCACTAAACAATCCAAATAGAGCATTTAATCATTAAATTATTCATCATGACGTTTCTTATTGTATCAGACACACTGATGCTGGCTTACCAAAAAACTCAGTAAATAAACCAAAAAAGGCTCCAAAAACACAGACATTTCTCAACTCCATTGTAAAGAAAACAAAAATATTTGTTCACGCAATTAAAATGTACCCTACTGGTAGTTACTTTTGTTAGTTCCAAAAGGATGAAAACATTTTATATAATAACACCAATAATGCTGACAAAACAAAAATTGTTAAACAATGATCTTTCATGTTATACACATATACAACAGTAAATATATCTGGAAATAATTTTCTTTGGGATTTGTTTTTTTTACTACATTATATTATGGTTTTTAAAATGCATACTGTAGGTACCATAATTATGCTATCATTATAAAAACAAAAACTTTTGATATAATTAGTAAATTTTAAACAATTCAAGATATATTTAAAAATTTATATCAAGCAAAGTTAAGACTAGCCCAGGCTTAACTCTAACAGGCAAATACTGATTTGAGACTTAAAGAAAAGCCATTATTGTCAATAGGCACAGAAGACAGAAAGTAAACTTAAATAGACCGCCAGCGGGACATTGGCTTTGTCTGCATGAGATGCAGGAAACTATGCAGGTTGCAAATGGGTCTGCAAAGTCATGTGAATCATAGCAAGCATCCTTAATCTTCGGAATTGAAGACATTGCCATTTTATATTTCCTATACATCAGCAATTACAGCACTTGCTACTAGACTGACGAAAGAATTGACATCTTCAAATACAAATAACCAAATTTAATGCACACTTTAAAAACCTTTTGTAAGTACTTTGTAAAAAAAAAAAAATAACTTTGAATGTCAGTATTTTAATAACATGAAATCAGTAAACCTTTTAATGAAACATATTATGCTACTACTATAAGTTGTTAGAATACTGAATATTGTAACTATTCAAATGTTCAGTCCATCCCATATTGAATGAAATGTTTGAATGTGATTGTTAAATAAAGGTACATTGTATGTTATGTTAAGAAACGCTGAATTTGTATCATACTGGTCGATGACCAAAGCTAATATGGAGGAGCTCAGTAGAATAAGAAACAAAAATGGCAAGATGGACATAGATCCAAATTAGAGGTATTGCCTAGAACAGAATCCAATGGCAAAGTACGCTCCATTTGAGGTAAAAAAGACCTGTTTTATTATTAAGAAGATTGTTGTTGCCAGAATTGACTAGCAGATAAAAATTTGACCACCTGCCTCAAACAAATAAACTCTGCTAGCACCAACTACTTAAAAAAGGAAGATAAATAAAGCTAAATACATCAATTTCTTTAAAAAATTGTGTTCAGAAAGAAGCCAGAATAAGCAAAAATATATTCAAATACAGAGAGAGAAAAAATCCATTCTATCAGATTGCATATTTGTAAGTACAGCAGACTTAAAAATGCACAGCAATATACAATGAACAGCATATAGTTTTGTCAATTTCAATGTTCATGTCGTATTCATAGCATCTATTTGAACAGAAGTAGGAATTACTTAGAAGAAAAAAAAAGATAAGTGTGATGGTGTAATAACTAGGTGAAAAAAAAATTATTGTAGTTTTTACACTTTTTAAGATTTTTCTCACTATTTGGATAATTGTATAATAAATCTAAACCTCATTAAAGAGCTATAATATAAAATAGTTTCTTATTCTACATTATAGTTAGATCTTGTCTTTAATTGCTGATAAAAAATACTCTGGTTATTGTTTGACATTATCTTAGCAAAAACAAATTTGAAACAATAATTTAACTAAAAAAATGTACCTGACAAAAATGTGGATACTGCACATTAGAATATAATGTATAAACAATATTAAACCCTTTTTTAGTTACTATTTTACTTACAGTTAATATCAACATTGTTGATATCTGTACCCAACCATAGACCATGATCACTTTTAAATAAATACAGCATCAAAACATAAGATGGCATTATAAAACATATTCATTATGGCATCAAGTCTCAAAATAAAAAATGACAAAACTAGCCTTGGAAGTGAACAATAATTACATGACCTGATTCAACAATGGTGCAAGTAATATATGTTGTTATTAAGTTCTCCAAATGTTATACATCTTCTTAGGATGTATGCTGTTAAGTAAGACATTAAAAAGTGTTTCTAACAGCAGTCTCAGTTGTCCATTAATAGTTGAAAAGTTTATACATCTTCCTTAAGATTAAAATTAATTAAAGATGCCTACAGGCCAAGATTTTAGTTCCTTTGGAGTGTATGATTGATCTTAATAATGACACAACTCAACAGTCCTTTTAATGATTGAATGGTTGTGTTTATAAGTGGCTTAGCAACAACTTGGTGATATAAGTAATTCTTCAGTCATCACTTTTGAAGCCTGTGTGAGTGTAATGGCAGCATGTAACACATTTTTAAAAATTATTGAAGTAAAGATTTTTAAAATTTGTATGGAAACTATGACAGTGGCAGTAGATTGTACACAAAAATATTTAATAAATCTGAGATAGCATATCGAGGGAAGAAACAAAATCTTTCACTTTGCTAGAATAATTTGTCTAAGATTTAATTCCTTCATCTTCACCTATTTGACCATTCTGCTAAGATCTATAAACAAATTTAAATCATGTGTGTGTGTGTCAATAAGTTAGCAGGCTAGATAATGTATGATATATAAATAATGATCAATAGATGAATAAAAACAAATCTACATCAAGCAAATAGTCCATTGAAAGATAAAAAAATACAGCAGTATTTGTATAAACTCCCAAAAAATGTCAACAAAATATGTACCATAAATAAATAGTGAAGAAAAAAAAAAGGTGATTTCCCCCATGATTAAAGCCAAATAATAATACTCCATTCAACCTATTCATACCATTAAAACAACAGCAACCAAAATATGACCTGTCATTACTAAACAGCTATCCACTATTTCCTAAACCATTCAATGCTGTAAAAATGTCATAAAATCCTCTTTGTTTTCATGTGTTGTCCTGGTTGGCCTGCCAAGGTCTGAGCGTGCTCCAACCTTCACTTTCAATTCCAGAAATACTGGCCCTTTAGCTTTGTGGAGGTAGCTGAGTTTTTCTTCGATTTCTTCTGCAGTTACAGCTACCAGGGCCTGATATAAGAACAAGCCAAGGAATTGTTAGAAGAAAACTTGCATTTTATTGGTTCAACAATAAAATCACCAAATTAAACTTCCCAAAATATGAAAAACAAAAATTAAATTGCACCTTCTTGTTGACTAAACCATGCTCACCTCCTTGTATCCACAACCCCTGGCGATGGCACAAAGGTCAAAGTCATCATGATTTGCAGCTTCTGTGGGCTGACCCCCCACAGAATCGTGAGCTCCATTGTTAAAAACTACATGCTTAAAATTCTCTGGACCTTGTTGACCTATGGTGGCCATTGTGCCCATGTGCATCAGGAGAGCACCATC